CCCAGACCCTTCTCTCCCTCTCTTTCACTTCCTGGCCGTGAGGTGAGGGAAGAGGTTTTGCTTTACCAAATGCCTGTGCCATGATGTGTTACCTCACCACAGCTAAAAACCAACAGGGCTACCTGATTATGAACTGAAACGCTTGAAACCATAAACCAAAATAATCCTTTTCTCTTCTTAAGTTGATTATCTCAGTTGTTTGTTATAGTAGGGAAAGCTGACTCCCACAGCATCCCAGCAGCGTCTCACAAAGCAATGTACCTCTCCCACAGCCTCCTGTGCCTGTTCATGCACTGTCTCATCAGGTGTTAGCTGCACCCATAAATAAGGTTCAAGTAGAATCAACTCACTCTCACTTTGGCAAGACGTTTTCTCTTAAAAAGGAACTATTTTGTTGAGCTGGCATTTGGGGGGTCCAGAAAGGTAGGAACAATTCACCTCATGAGTTGTCAACCTCAGGGCCTGTTTTGTGCAATCAGGTGCTGATTTGGGGCAGCATTTCATCTGTCTAAAATGAATTTCCACTTGTTGGACTGACAAAAAATGAGATGCTCCAACTAAAAAGATTAAGACTGAAAACTTTAAGAATGCTTTTGAAGGCATGATTAAGATATAGTCATGCTTGGCCTTTATTTAAAAAAAAAAGCAGATGAAATTATCAACTATTAGGAATAAATTAAAATACAACCATTGCGAATCATTATTTCTAACATGTGATCCATAGTAGAAAATACTCATTATAATTTTTATTTTAGGGAATATGATTGGTTCCCAAGGCTGTGGAAAGCTGAATGAATGTGGCTGTATTTCTGGAGAAAATTTCTCTGCTCTCTTCACATAAGTGTGTTAATCACACACTCAAGATGGAAAAAATATTTACATAAGGAGTCAAGTTTTCTGAAGTCCCCAGAGTCTACTCTTAATTACTGGTATTCAAGGATGAGCTGTGTGGCATAGATCATCTAAACATTGATAAGAAATTCATAAAATCTTGGATTTGGGCTGTAGTACCCAATAGGCATTATGCAGGTTCTGGGGCTAGAAGACCAGGTCAGACAGTCTCTTTAATAAATACATAAAGAATGACTATGTAGTTTTAGTGTACCGAAAACACACCAAACAGGGAGATTTGGACAAAATAAGGGTGATGTGAGCCAATACATGCATCACAGGAGGTATACAATTATACACATCTGTACATGGGAACATGGTCCAGGGCGGGGAAAGAGCACCCAGGGCCTGAGGTGAGCAGGAAGAGGGCTCCTGGATCAGCAAGCAGGCCTGGGTGGGGGTAGTGGGAGGAAGAGGAGTCGGGGGAGACGGGTGGGGACACCCACAAAGGTACTGGAAACCACTGGGAGTTCACTGGGACTATAGTTTATGTGGTAGAGATGTGCTCTGATGTGTTCTAGAAAAATCACTTGGGGGATTTTCCCCATGGGAATACCCCATGCTCTAAAGAAGTCTCTGACATTTCCTTCAGGTGGATGGTGTGAAAATGGAATAGTTGAATTTTTAAGGCTCTTGAGCCAACACTGCTCTGCAGGATGGCGGTTCTTTGGGAAATCTTTTCCTATTTTAGAAGAGGATAATGGCCACCATTCTTTTTGTAACACCGGTGGAAACCTTTCAGAAACACTCACTGGCCATTCACACTTGCTCTGTGGATCTCCCATTCGCAGACAGTGTTTTCTTTCCTTCTGCTCATATTACAATGAGTGGGAATATGAAATGTGAGGCAGAGTCTAAAATCTACAGAACAGGACCTGGATTAGAAGTGCCCTGGATGATGCTGTCTTTGTTCATTAGAATCAGGTCCTCAGGGACTGGACCAAGTATCATCTGGAGTCCCTGCGTAGCAGCTCCTTGGGACTTACCTGGGCCCCCCTTTCCTCGTCCAGCTCCACGGTCATCAGAGCTGAGGTTCCCTTCTCACTCACAGTTGAATGCCGGCCTTGCCAGAAGAAATACACACATTTCTCTTTGCCAGTCACTCTTGCTGAATGCTCTCCCTTTTGTCGACTTCCCACTGCGAACACACAGAATGGCAGAGGGCAAGGTAAGCCGCTGAGTCACAAAGGGAGAACACCTGGCTTAATTCTCCAGGGTCTGCAAGGAGGTAAGGTAAAGAAAGCCTGAGGGCACCGGACTGAGGAGAAATCACTACAACTGGAGTCATGTCAATCATACTGCACGAGAGGGAGGCCACCTTCCGCCCAGCTCGTCAACCAGAGCCTCCAAGTATGAGAATGATGCTCCAAAGGGTCCCCTTGATACCCAAAGGGAAACATGTGTCATCCTAGAGGGAGGTGACAGATCCCTCCAAGTGTGTGGCACAGAGAAGTAGTGACTGGCAGAGCGGGACCAATGGCTCACACAGACACACATGTATTTTCCAAATTCCGCCATTCTTTGGCAAGAATTAGCTAGTGGAGAAGCGATATGGAAAACAACAGCTGGACCAGCTATCAAGGCAGAGGATAAAAATTAGACTGTTAAAACTACTCTAGTTTAAAAAAATTTTTTTTTAAAGATGACTCTGTCAGAAATGGAAGAGATGCTTTGCTGATCTATTACTCTCACAAAATAATAAAGGATTTCCTGTCTGTCACCAAGGCTTGGCCAGGATGCAGTCTCACCGACTTGTCTTGTCTCTCTGGCATCTCGTAGGCACTCAGTGAGAGTCTGCAGCAGAGGAGACAGATGTAGCTCCCTGCCCTCAGAGCAGTCAGAGTCAGCTGGGTGAATGTCATTTTAAAATAGCACTTCAAGCCCACAAATCTCTACTGTTAGGAAGAGATCTCACTCCAGATTCTATTTATTTATCACCTACTGGGTCCTAGGAACTCTTTAAGATACTAAGGCTATAATGATGAGCTAAACGTTTCCCTGTTTCACTTTAATGAATGAACAAATGAATGAACAAAACAACTTTAGACAGTGAGAAATAGTATGAGAAAAATAGAGAGATTCGGAAAAATAGGGGGATGCGACAGCCAGCAGGGTGGGAGACTGTAGGATTGTCTATTGGGGGAAGATGCATAAGCTCAGGGCACTCAACTACCGAGCCACATCCCTATCCCTATTTTGTATTTTATTTAGAAATGGGGGTCTCACTGAGTTGCTTAATGCCTCACTTTTTCTGAGGTTGGCTTTGAACTCCCCATCCTCCTTTCTCAGCCTCCCGTGTCACTGGGATTACAGGCATGCACTACCACACCTAGCTTGGATGCAAAATTTCCTAGGTAAAGTCAGGAGACCTAGTTATTGATGCACATGCCTGGGTGGCTCCCAGTAATTGGGGGTTGCTATCAATCTGGAATATTCCCCAAAGGCACACAGGCTTGGTCCCCAGCCTAGTGCTGTTAGGAGGTGGTGGAGACTTTAAGAAGTAGGGCCTAGAGAGAGGTCTTCCAGTTACTGGTAGCATGATTTTAAAGGGGACAGTGGGACCCTACACCTTCCTTCCTCTCTCCCCTTCTCTCCTTCTCTGTTTCTCTCTTTCCATGTCCCAGCCAGGAGATGAGCAGCTTTGGTCTACCATGCTCTCTCCGCCATGATGTGCTGCCTTGTCACAGGCCCCAAAGCAATAGGGCCAATGAATCGTGAACTGGAACTTCCAAAACTGTGAATAAAAAACCCTTTCTTCTTTATCGTTGATTATCTCAGATATTTTGTTACAGTAATAGACAACTGTCTAACAATAGAAGACCACAATTCCTGGTAATACACACATTAAAAATTAGCAATAATAGCTGGGTGCAGTGGAGCATCCTGTAATCCCAGCAGCTTAGGAGGCTGAGGCAGGAGTTCAAAGCCAGCCTCAGCAACAGCGTGGTACTGAGCAACTCAGTGAGACCCTGTCTCTAAATAAAATACAAAATAGGGCTGTATATAGAGCTCATTTGTTGAGTGCCCCTGAGTTCAATTCCTAGTACCAAAAAAAAAAAAAAAAAAGAAAAGAAAAAAATTAGCAATAACAATGGGATTCTCTGGTTCTATATTTACCTCAATTTTTCTCAGTTCCATTCCCATCAACATATTCATAATTGCTTTTTGATTTTGAAGGTAAAAGAAAGTTCATTTGAGTTTTTAAGAGGTCAAGGACTAAATTTATTTGATTTTTTTGGCTCTTTGTGTAGCAAAGTCCTCTATTGCAGTTTTCATATATTATTGTAATAATTTCTTAAAGTATTTTGACTAAACACAGCCTTTGGCACCATCGCCTGTGGATCTCAACTGGTCAAGTCTGTGTGGTTTTAAGTGGGCAATGTGAAATAGGAACCATCAATGAATAGCTTATAAATACCCACAATTAATCTGGAAGCCATGCAGTTGGAATTTCTGCTCATTTAGATAGCAACAAAACTTTGCCTTTCATTAGTAATCCCATTCTTCAAAGTAATGAAAAGTCATTGTATCAGCTGGGGAGAGATGCTTAAATAGACCACAACAGTTTATATATGCCTTGGACTCTGTTAGCACTCATTGTGTAAATATACATTCACACTGAAATAACCTCGTATTCTAAAACAGACACATGTGCCTAAAATAGAACTGAGTTTCCTTAAAGATATTTCATAAAACAGACATTGCACAAATTTTCCTCAATATATCCAAATTTAGTTCTATACAAATAAATTTTTAATATATTTTACATGTTAGTAATGTAAAGGTTAAGTTTCTAAACTTTAAGCCTCTGGACTATAATCTTAACAGCTTGATCAGATGCCTCATTTAGTGTTAAAGCTTGGCATGTTCATGTTATCCCAGTAGCTAAGAAGGCGGAGGCAGGAGGATCACAAATTCAAAGACAGCCTCAGCAATTTAGCAAGGCCTTAAGCAACTTAGTGAAACCCTGTCTCAAAATAAACAATAAAAGGGGTGAGGTTGTGGCTCAGTGGTTAGGCACTCCTGGATTTAATCCCTGTACCCCCCTCTCCCAAAAAGAGTTGCTATTATTACATCATCAAAGCACTTTCAAGAACAATTTTGTTGCTAGTAATTGCGTTTGGGAATTGCAGAAAACTGAGGCGTGAAGAACTAACTGCTCATGGTCAAGTAGTCTTGCACCAGAATCCCATTTATTGACCAATTACGGCCAGAAACTCATCTATATCACTCTCTGGAGCAGCCCGACCCTGTGTTTCTGGGCTCCTTGAGCAGAGTCTCCGGATCCTGCAGGGACATGAACTGGTTCCCTATAGCCTACTCTGCAGGTGGTCACTGGGGCCATGCAGACTGGCCAATATCCATCAAGGGGATGACTGTGCTGCCTTTACAGCTGCTGTTTTCTGCTCGTCCTATGCTGGAAGAACACCCAAACCCAAGTTCAGCCTAGTTTGCAAGTGCAGCCCTGGTGGGGTATGAATGATGGGCGTCTTGGAATAGCAGTCACTCAGGGGCCAGTGCCTCTGTGATGGCTACAGAACCACTATCAACACCATCAGACTGTGCTTCTCTGCTCCCAGAGGGTTGCTCAGGAGTCTGGATGCTCCTTGCTCTAACTTAATTCTCTGTAGCTGGAGGTTTTCAAAGTTGCAGCTGTGCTAATAAAGATGCTGGGGAGCTGGCTATGACATACATTATGTTTACTTAGAAGAAATACAGAAAGAGATGGCCTGGGTCAAATCATTATTTCCTAAGGGCCTCCAAGAAATTCATCTATGAAAGTCTTGGAAAGCTTAGGTTGATTTTCTTTTTAATTAATTCACTTCAGTATAGCTTTTGCATTCATTCTCTTTCTAGTACTTCTTGCTCATAACTAACAGCTAAGGTTCTAAACATCAGATTGTGTTTTCCCTTTGTTGCATATAATCAAACTTGCAGTTTCCTTCCTGCATTTTGGTAACTATAGGTGCCTTTAAAGTTTATTTTTTAAAGGCCCCAGTCCCACAGTTCCACAGGTTAGCAGACTTCATCCCTCTAGCACACACTAAAGTCCCTGCTATTGTCTTCATTGCCACCAGCAGCACAGATTAGTATTTCAGTCTGCCACCTCCATATTACATTGGGGAGCTTAGGTCCACTTTAGTGACTCCTTGGGAACTACTATTTTTTGGGTAGCTGCACGTTATTTTGTGTTTCAGTGGAACTAAGTGATGCGTGTTCTCCATACCTACAGTATAAACATGTGTCAGGCACTGTGCTAAACATCACAGATATCTGACTATAATGTTCTGTGAGTTAAGTTCTGTATTTCCTGTTTCCCAGGTGAGAAAATCAAGGCTCAGACAGGTTCCATCATTTTCCCTGTCATGCACAGCTGGGAAGCAAGGGCTGGAGCTTCTGATTCTCAGGCCATATGATTCTGGTGCCTGTAGACTCTCCTCCAATGAAGCAGCCTTGTTAGGAAAGAGGAGCCGTTCAGACAGCTCTAAGGAATGAGTTAGACGAGGAGCACCTCTCCCATCGGGGTTCTTGCTCAACACCCCACTACTGCCTGGAAGGAAGGCCAGAGCTGCCTGGACAGGGCTGTTTAGAAAGCCCCAGAAGTCTAAGAAAAGGACTGTCAAGTAGCGTTTGATGTTTAGTTCTGTGTTTGAATGTCAAGGACTAAACATAAAACACAATTGGGTGTTGAGTCAGCTCTGCTGCTAGGTCAACCCTGGCCTTCTCAGGGGTCAGGTGACTAGGTCCCTTGGTTCTTCTTTATGGCCAAATTCCTGTCTCCTCACATCTGACCAAGGCTCAAACTTTGACTCCCTCCTGCAGGGTGAGTGGGGGCACACCCCACTTGGCTTTGAAAAGAATCCAGCCTGGACTTCAGTGTCCAGCTCTGTTCTACTGGTGGTGCTGTCCTGTTCCTCATCTGAGAAATCACTGTGAGGTCAGGGTAGGCCTCCAGCATCATGCCTAGGGCATGGGGGGAGCTCTAGGCCCACAGCCTGCTCTGCCCTGCCTACTGGTCACTGCCACCTGCCAGTGATGCCCACTGTGGGATGCCCAGGTCTTGGTTTGCTGGTCTTTACCCTCTGCCAGAAGATCAATGGCCAAGCAGTCAGCTCTCAGCTCTCCTCATACACCCCAGACACAGGACACAGGACCTCCCACTCCCACCCCAGCCATGCCCTCTGAGCAAAGCATCCAACTGAGTGTTTTGCTACAGAGTGTTTCTTTGACAGGAACCATGAGGATCTCTGACTGCCTTTATAGCAGACTCCTATGGCACTCTTAGGGCTCCAAGCCTCAGAGGAAAAGAAACTTGTCATTTTTTTGGTGGTGCTGGGGATGGGAACCCAAAGCCTCATGCCAGCTACAATCTCAGTGCTCCCCCCACTTTAAAAAATAAATCTTGTATGTGTGTATTTACTAGCAATGTCACATCACTATTTGGTTCTGGTTTACGTCACCCAGATGTGATCTATTTAATGTATTTAAGCATCATACAGCCACATGGTAAAGGAAGCAAGTGATGACTTTCCTAGAAAACACTGGGGATGGGGACAGGGAGTCCTTAAAGCCTCTCAGTGGATGCCCGTGCGAACTGAAGGAGCTGAGGACACCCAGGTACACGCAGGGTGCCCCGCTCCACACAGTGCGACTCCTGCCTCTCTTTGTGAAGGGAACGGAGGCGCTCACTAACCTGTGGTGCTCACCATGTACTTCCACTTGACCACATAGGCATCACCCTCGTGGAACTGCCCGATGCTCTGCCTGGGGAGCCTGCTGTAGTCGAATTCTAGGATATGCCAGACATCCACGGAGATGCTGGCAATCTCAAAGTGCCTTCTGTCGTCCCCTTCCACCAGGCCGTAGCCACGGCCAATATTCACCCCATCCAGGATGGTGCCAGCTGTCATCTGGGGCACTGCCACCATCCGCGTGACATCGTATGGCCTGATGTCGGTCCTAGGGTCTTCCTACATGGGGATATAAAAATGTTTGTCCAGTTACT